TCTCGTACGTGATTGGCTATCAGCAGCCCGATTTGAGCATTAATTGGACAGTGTATACGCGTCATGCTTGTAATTGGACAGTACGCGTCATTTTGCACGTGCTGTTGCGGTGCACTTTGTTGAGTAAACTGCTGTGTTTTTCAGCATTCATAACGACGTTTAGTCGTTCAGCGATCAATCGATGGTTTGCTCATTTCTCGAATTTTGTCATAGTTTTGATTAACTGGTAACAGGACATCGTGTCGTCCAATTCAGTCTGTAATCATACTCGTGATTAACAAATCGAAATCCCGCTTCGCGGTCGTCCGATTTTGTTAATCACTCGTATGAGTACACACCGAATTGGACTCCACTCAGTCCTATTACCACTATAAATTTTCGGTATATGTCAACTATTGCTATACGCTTTGTATAATTTGTTGCGAAATATGATGAAATATGACGATTTTCTCGCCTGGAAAAAAATTCACGGCCTCCAAAACTTATAAATGGCATCTTTGAAGTGCGAAAATTTTCGCAGGTGAAAAAATCGTTCGCACTAAATATGGCTTCGAGTTGACAGTTTTTTTTTGCCAAACAAATGCAATTTCGCGTAGTACAAATAGGGCCTTGGCCTAACCTTCAGACTATCCATGGTTACTTTTTCTTTGTCACCAAGGGGATAAACCACTGCATAGTATCGTTCAACGGCGACCACAGCCAAAGTAAGTATTGACGAGGCTGCTCCAACCCACGCTATGGTTCCAGTTATAAAAAATTTACATAAAACTGTTCCAGTCACTCCGTCCGGAAGGTTGGTGAAGGAAAATTGGATAACGAGTACATTCGGGGAGATAAACGTCACGTACAGGATATCCGCAACAGCTAAGTTCACGAGAAGATAATTAATGGGAATCCTGTGGAATATATAGATAACGTGAGACCACGTAATACCCACATGACAACGTATGCGCATAATGAAAGATTAGTCACGCGTGTGCGAAAGAAGCTCAAAACCGTATAATAACAATATTTAAAGAGGGTTAATTAGTTAATTAGGGTGGCCCTCGTTAACTACTATTTACAAATTGATTAAAAATTGGGCTTGGGAATGGATACATTTCCACTTGCGGCCGATCAGATCTGGTGTCTATCTTTAACGTATTGAAAGCTGTTTTGCAGGTATTTTGATGTAATGGTGTAGGGTTTTACACAGTATGCTCAAATGTTTCATTACTATGCTAGTGTTAGATGTTAAAAAATCGGCTCACTGTTAAGCTTGAAAGACGTCACCATAATTGTTTTCCATTATTTGCTCACATAAAGAAGCTGATATTTCCACTTAGCGCTAGTTATAATAATATTGAAGCATAGACGAGGCGTCAATATCATCCCTAATTGCTCTGGCCTGGTTAGTTTCGAAATAAATTTTCTAGTTAAGTCGGTATCCTTTAGTATTTGGAGGCTTTTTTTCGTTTGCAGGTGCTGTGTACACTGTGTGGCTTGTATCTTGATTTCTTTCGGCCGGCCTAATCATCAGACAGTTTTGGTCACTGTTCAGTATTCTGGAAGAATGCTCGATCTCTTAGCCTCACTATTATGCTTAAAAATTGCCGGCTTAATGTGTAAAACCCTATAATGGTATGCTATGGCAAATTCTCCACTGATAAGATGGACAATTTTAACAAATCGACAAAATTTATTTTTTATCCGTCCACAAACTCAAACTCACAAGACGTTAATCAGTATTTTATAAGTTATCCAACTCAGTTATGTTAGCGTTTCTCCTTTAATGAAGAGCGTGGTCACTGAATATTTTAAATAAAGTATGTTCAACGTAATCTGGCTTGTGGAAATACCTCATAACTCGATGCCTCTTTATAATCGCACACACCAGACAGTTTCCCACGATACCTACAACGACGAATATGGAGAGTACCGTTGTTATGACAACACTGGCTGACCCGGACATGATTGAAGTGCGCCAATGAACGTGCCGTGTGATCTGAATAAAAACAAAATAACAGTGCGCTTGATGATAATGGCTAACATGAAACTTGTTCTAAATATATAAAACTTGTGTTATTTGCAAAAATTGATCACAGATGACCACTATAATTATCATAAACATGTTGGACATGTAATATATCAAACTCGAGAGACAGTGTTTCATCGGGATATCCAAACACCGAGAAGAGAGTTGAACATGTTGAAAATACGACGCGCAGCGGAGTATCTTTGACTAAGGAGTAAACGGAGAAGTAAACTCGTCAAAATCCAGGCTAATTAAGACCGGGTATCCAAACCTCTTTCACGGTTTTCTTTGTTTTAATTTGATGACTTGAATTGTTAATTACTTTGAGAAATAAAAATGAAAGGTATATTTTTCATTGCAATAAAGCCTGTCTGTTGATCGCCTCAAGGTGTGAGACTCAGGTAATAACCAACTTTATTCTCTTTTTTTTTTTTTTTTTCGTAGAACAAGTTTTATATTTTTGGCACCTTTCGCACGTCATACGTAACCGAAAATATATAAAGAATGTCAACAGTATTAGTTTTCTTCACTATATTTTGGTGTACCAAGAGTGTGTTCAATATTCAGGGACAATTGATCTTAGTGCTGCTCAAAGAGTGTATACAATATTTTATAAAAACACGAGATTATGGACACCGCCATAATGTCATTTACGTAGAGGCCGACATTAGTTTAATAAACATTTTAGTATAGTAATCATTTTAGTATTGTCTGATCGTAATTGCCATGTGGCCGTTCTGAAGGCTGGAATGCGGCATATATCCGTTCGTCTATAATCAAATTGAATATCTTTAATTCTGCGGTTTATTCCCATCATACAAGGAGAGTGTAAGACATGCGTTCGCCCTCATTCTTCGTAACCTTCGCGGAGTACACATCAGAGAATTTTCCCACCTCCATCCCCAGTCATTCCGCCTTCACCAGTCACTGGCCTTTACTCTCGCTTACGGCTGGGCCTGTTTTCACGCCCACCTGCGCTAACGATCCGTCGAGTTTTCGGTAATTAAGCTGTCACTAAAGTTATTTTAGTCAATAAATCGCCACTCTCGTGGCCAAATTATTCCAGCTTGGATATCTCACTTTTTTTCTGGGTTGTCTTCCGGTAAACAACTGGCGGCTAACAATGAAGGGTTTTCGTACGCATCTACATAAAATAACTGAGATACTACGCGCGCTCTGATTAGTAAAAAAACCTATCGTATATTGTACCGGTAAACACAGGGTTTTGACACGCAGCACTGCGTGAGAAATAGGGAGCTCAGAACACTACTGGAAAAATACATTTAAAAAGCTCTATATATATTTTCGGCTTTCACTGGCTGAGATATCAATAGCACGAATATCTTTTAATTCAACATATACATTGAAATTTGCAAGGAAAAACAGGACCAGAATTTGGTCGCAATATAAAGCTTGATCTTTTTCTAATTTCCATGGCCAAAATTTTACGTCGATTCCGTTTACGCTTGAGTTTAGAAGAAAGTTTTAAGCGCTTTCAGTGCTTTTCACGGTCTTTGGAAGACGCAGTTCTGACTACAGCTGGGCTTGAATGATCAATCTGGGTGGATAAAAAAGCAGGTAAAAGATTTCTTTCGAGGTAACATTATGCTTATCGAGTAGCAATTCTGATTAAATTTCAGAAACAGAGTTTTCAGAAGTAATCTTTTTTCCATTCGCAAAACTTTGAAAACTGTGATTGAATCACTTCGCCAAGCGCATGAATTTTGTACTACTTGCAAACTTTTCGTATAGTCTTTTACTTTCGTGATGACTCATTCCTGCCACGAATACTTGCATTTTCCCGTCGAAGTTCTTTAAAATTAATTGATACACGCTCTGTGTTTCAGCGATAACCTTTTCCTTTCCTTTCCTAGAATATTTATAGCGCTAAATGTTTTTGTTTCCATTTTCGTTTTCGAGAAAAGCTTGTAAATCACTAGCCGTTATTTACAAGCTTTTCGAGTGTTCTCACAACATCCTGCGTGGTTTATTACGCCGGTAAACCCATAGAAAGAGTGGTTTATTTCTTCTATGAAATAACTATGTGAAAATATTTGTCAAAGTGTAGAAAATTTTATTGTACTTTCGTGATCAAGTTGATTATTCTCAACAAATTCATCAGATGACCCAGGAAAACCAATCACAGAAGCTGAAAGAATGAGAGCACACACTCAGCGCCGGGCAAAATTCGCAGAGCAAAACGACGAAAACATTTGGCATGGTAAGTTAATCCGTTTAGTTTTGAGTGGGGCATGTTTATCAACGATTTTCATGAACAAGGACTTCCATACATTCCACATAGCTGTGGGATTTGGCTCTAAGCTAATTTTAAAAATCCTATGGTTGTTGCACAAGGTCGTTTAAGAATTGGTCGTTATTAACATTTTTGAAAATGCATGGGTCTCAATAGTATAACGAGTGCTAACACGCTCAGTGAATGATCGCTAATACCAAGATGGACGACACCAGAATTAACGATTTTTTTCGGGAGAATTAGTTATGCAGAGATGGATTAATCCTTGTTGGCTCAGAAATCATTCGATTCAGCCCCTAAATATCGAATGTTTGACCGATCGCGCAACGTGTCGCAATTTAGATCTCCCAGCAGGTAGAAATCCTTGTGTTCGGAATCAATTTTATCTACCAGTGCTTCAAATCGAGAAAAAATGTTCTGGGAAGAGCTCGGAAATCTGTACCACGTAATTATTATCAAGGGTCTAGAATGCGGCCTAATAATTTCGATTACAAGGCATAAGTTGATCAACATATATCATTTATATTATTTCATAAATAAATACACA